TTAAAAAAAAGAAAATCAAAATCGGACAATTAGCAACAGAGATATAGCACTTCAAAAAAGCGCTTGGCCGCCATCTTTAACGGCCGCCATCTTGGATCCTGCACGGATTTGAAAGTGGTTCTACGGACAAAAACTTTTATTTTTTCATCTAGTATGACCTCCCGAAGTGGCAATTTCCAATCAAAAAATCGTCGATTTTGAATCGTACCCACCGTACTAAGAGTAAAGATTTAACATTAAATTTCGTTTTAAACTCCGTTTTTCGTTTTTAACTTGTACTGAGACTTTTGGTAAGCTAAGTAAAGTTCACCAAGATCATTGTATGAGTTGTTCTCACTATTTTGAGTGGGTTAAACGATTCAAAACTGGTCAGGGGATCGTCGAAAATGAGGAGCACGGGAATCGACCATCAACGGCAACTGACATTTGTCATGTGGAAGAAGTGCGGCTAAAAGTGCTCGAAAATGGTCGTTTCGAGCTTGCTGAACAGTGAAATATTTCTGAAGGCTCTGTACATACAATTTTGATAAAATACGTAGACATGCATCGAGTTTCAGATACACTTGCCCCTTGATTGTTGTCCGTTGAACAAAAATCCGACCGAATGTCAATTTCCCTTTAGCTGCTTGAATGTTCTAACAATGATCCTAGGATAATTGTAAATGTAAAAGCTCTACAACATTAAAAGTTCGGGGTTTCATAATTTTTTGCACATCTACATTTACTACAGATGACATACAAAGATCATTCTTATCGGTCCGGCAGTTCGTCAGAAATAGTGCTTCCAAGATTTTGCTTGTAGCTGTATAATATAGATAAAAAGTAGTCTGAAAGGGACAGAGAAGTCCTTGCGAACTCCCAGCTAACGGATGATCTTTTATGATCTGAGAAAAACCAAGAGGATTCATGACATTCTGATTATGACTCGGATAAATGAAGTACATCCCTGAACCGGCATGTATGTTCGAGATGACAATGTCGACCAATTCTGCCTCTGACCCTCGATCATTCATTACCACAGCCATGAAATTGATATCTTACAAAGTCAGCAAAAGACTCTCCTCCCTCCTTGAAACTGTCAATTTTAGTGTATTTCGACCTACGGCCCAGCAAGGTTGGCAGCAAACTCAAAGTAGCTTGATGAAAAACATCAAAATCTCCACCAGCATTCAATATTTGAGTTACAAAGTGAAAAAATAATGGGCTAGTAAGGCTATAACAGGGCAAATTCTGTTTAAGGATTGACAGTTAGATAGCAAGTGCCACCATCGAGTGCACCTGATCTACTAACAGTATGAGAGGAATTTTCCTGAGAAGTGCTGGCTGCAAATAGGGGGATGGAAGAAGAGGTACGCTGAGTCGTAGAAGGGTCTCGGCATGAAGTGCCAGTGTTCGCAATATTTGATAGTGAGAAGAACGAAGAGGCCAAAGGAAATGTTAAGGAGCTCGAACGAGAGGCAGTTGGAGGGAAGGTGTTTAACCTTTTGTGCCAAAGTTGAGTTTTGTGTCACAGGTGTCCAGATGGACAATATTTCAGTTAAGGTGACTGGTGTGGCTGATAAAGAACTTGGCACGGTTGTCTTATCGATGAGAATGGCTGTTGTCACTACTCGCACTCGCACTCTTTTCTGTAAGGCTTCCAGCAATTGGGCTAAGTAAGCTAGCAATTCGGTTCATTTCGAAAACAACCTCTCGTTAGGATTGTCACCTTCAGGAAAGGGCTCCTTTGTAATTCCGATTAGGAAGTGAAACACTTTGGAACGATACACGTTTGAACAATTGTTTAGCTATTAGTCCTTGTCCACACGAGCGTAGTTTAGTTGAAATTAGTTCTTCGAATTTCAGTTTCGCAGATTAAGTTACGGCCAAGATATAACGAGTTTTAGAAGAAAGTTCTCCCTTACCGGGAACCGTGCTAGTGTAAACAAGGCCTTAACAAAATCTCTTCTTAAGTAACTAGTTCTGATGAGAACCCTTCAGAACTGTTTGAAACATCTTTTGGCTCTATGACCTTTTTGATTTGATGATTGGTGTTCACAGGGAAGAAATTGCAATGCCCCTACTGTGAGCGTCTTTATGGGTATGAAACAAATTTAAGAGCGCATATACGACAACGACATCAAGGTATTCGCGTGCCATGTCCATTCTGTACGCGAACGTTCACTCGGAATAACACAGTACGGCGTCACATTGCGCGTGAGCACAAAACGGAACTCAGTCTGAAAGCTTTTCAACAAACGCAAAATCAGAATCACAACCAGTGAGACATATGTTTTATAGATATAGTACCTGAAGCACTCGATACTTGATCCAGTTTTACTCGTCTAGTTTTTGTTCTTGCTGTTGCCTATAGACTTCTAATCCTTTCTGTTGTATGCACCTATGTAATAGTACAAATGTGGTTTATAAATTTATCCCACTCTCTCAAGAACAACTTTTGAATTTTTTGCCATTTCTTACCTGTGCTTCAACTCTGACAGCTCAGCTGCTATTACTGCAACGGTGCATTGTTGCCTCTGCATTTGGCTCAGTACACTCTTCAGTGTATTTTCCAAAAAAAATTAGCTATTTTTCTGTTAACCTTCTAGCTTGTAAGCTGAAAGCATCCTACTCTGCACCTAAATTTGATTTCAATTGTTAGCAAGCTTTCTCATTGATAGGTCTCTCCTTGAAAGTCATCATGAGGAAGTGAGTTAATGCATCTTTCCAAGAAAAATTAATTCATTTTCTTTTGATGTTCATCCTGTATACTGCTTGGTGATCATTTTACCAAGTGTCGAAAGTGAAAGGCAGTCGATGGTTTTACTTTTCTCCGTCAGTTATGCTTCTGATCTGAAAACAATCGTGTTTCATCAGCTTTGCCACTGATTTAAGGACAGCAGTGTTTTTCTAAAATTCGAATTCTGCTGTAAAATTCAAAGTTATCAAAATTCGCTCAGTATCTCAAATTACTGAAATTTTCTTCCCCAACCTCTTTTCCTTTATTGTCATATATTAATGTTCAATAAGTAGAAAAAATTTACAATCTCAGTGCCATAAATTGAAAAATACGAAATGATGTCTAATAAATGGTATTTAATTTCTGTCATGGTAATGCGTTACCCTGTTTTTTATGGCAATTCTACCTAGTAGATATTTAAAATGTGGATTTATATCCCGAGAGTATTATGAGAAGAGCACAACTAACAGTATTATTACGAAATAAGTTTTCGTATAAACTTTTTACATGTAGTCAAGTTTCAAAAGTTGTTCTTGTTTGAGGTAGGTTTATTCTTTCCTGAAATGGTTCTAGCATTCAAAATGCACCCATCATTTCAGCTTCTGTCATCTTTTTCTTTCACTGAATTCCATCATTTTCCCCCAGTGGTTTCATTTATCTTTGTAGGTATTTTATTTATTTATTTATTTATTCATTTATCCATTCATTTCAATTTTTTAATTTTTTTTTTAAAAAAAAAGAAAAAAGAAGTTTCTCTCTTCTTATGCCTCTCACGGTCACAAGTTGAAGTTTTCAAACCTTTCTTATCATAGCTGTGGAAAAGTTTCAGCTTCACAGGTATTTTATTACACCAATCTCAGTCGACTTTAAGAGGCTATTCATCTCATTATTGTGGAGCAGAAAAAATCATTTATGGTAGCTTATCATAGTGGTTTACAGCACATGGAGGCCTATGCCATAACACTAATCCCCCCCCCCCCCCCCNCATGGTGGATTCCAATCAAATTTTGACAAGTTGGTTCATGGTGCCAGGTAAGTTTTTCTCTGAAAATTACGAAGTGATGAAAACTTTCTCCTAGACGTGAAGATTGAAAAACCAACAACCTCAAAATTATTCATTCGGCTGGCGAAGTAAGATTTGTAATTGCAATTCAACATAAATTTATTGAAAAATACATACCTCTATAAAATACACATTTATTTTATTATAAAATACTGATTTAACTGTTTACGATATGAAAAATTTCAAAATATCTCCATTTTTCATGTACGTGAACAACTTTCTTAAAGTTTTTTGGCTGGAATCCACAACCGTTTTATTAATCAATTTTATTCTAAATAGCTGATTTTGACCTCTACTTTTTCAGCTGGTCGTCGAGTTTCCAAGTTTTTGACATGCCAATGTTGGTATGAAGAAAAATAATTTGTTCCCTTGCCTTGCCATTTGCGGACATTAGATTGTCTTTCTCTAGAGAGGAGAAATTATGGATTTATGGAAGAGTTTAAGTTTAAAAGCCTGAAAGTTTCACTTCTTGTGGAAATTGGTCTTCAACATTCTTTGCTGGTGAGAAAATTCGAAAATTTCGATAAACGTCGAGTGTCCCTCTAAATTTTTGTGTTACTTCCATAAAAAAATGCAGAATCAGTTTCTGTAAGCTGCTAATTGTTGTTAGGTCTAAAACCCCTTCACTCCAAGTCTTCTCCCTCTAAATTGTGACACGTCTTAAAATTTTATTGGGATCCATGTATGAGGGTGGTTGGTGTTTTTGCATAGTCCTCTTTCGCCTTCTTTCTTAAATGGTTCAGTTTTCCTTTAAATGATAAATTATAATAAACTCGGAATTTTCTCCTAAAATCAAGCTTTTTCTAATTATCAATCCAATTCAAAATTGGTACATAATTTAGAAAATTTAAGTAACTTCTATATTTAGCAGCCTCCAGTATATGCTAATGGATCAGTTGCGCTGGTCACAGAATTGTGTTTTGACGCTTGAGTCTGGTAGATTGGCAAAAAATAATGAGATCTGTCTAAAAAGCAACTATCTATGTTCAATAACTGCGTTGTTAAACTCTCTGGTCTGCTTTCTGGAGGATCGTCTGCGGAGAGCTTGGAGGATTCCCCAGAGACTTAACGTCAGCTAACTGCGTGGTCGTCGTCGTCGGCCGGATTTGTTTACATTTTATGTCAAATCCAATGAGTCGACGAAATCTTCCATACTTCTCAATTTTCAAAACTTGCATAAGGATAATATAACAGCAGGAAGAGAAACTAGGCTAACCTCACTGCTACGTCACTCTCCGGTAGGCTTTGACCTCGAGAGATCGGAGAGCTGGAGAGCTGTTCGCAGACTGACGTAGCGTGACGTAGCAGGTCTCCGGGTAATTCCTCCGAAGTTCAACAACGGTTGTTTACACCTCCGGGTAACTCCGGAGAACCCGGAGTTTAACAACGCACCTAATATTAGCCAAGGTATCACCCTTCGAAAAGTTGGGTTTTTGACGTCATCTACCGCGGTAATGACATCCTTGGTTTCTTCCACCTTGCTTTCATCAGTCGGCGTGACGCACATTTGCACTGGTCGTTTAATGTGAAACTCTGATGAAAGCAAGGTGGAAGAAACCAAGGGTGTCACTGCCGCGGTGGTTGACGTCAAAAACTCGATTTTTCGAAGGGCGATATCTCGGTTAATATTGAAAGTAGAAAGTTGCTGTTTAGACAGATCTTATTATTATAAGCTGATCTACAAGAATCAAGCATCAAAACACGATTGTGTGACCAGCGCAACTGACCCATTGCTCAGAATGTCCGAAAATTTCCCCTGCTGTTTCTCATAATTAGACTTTTAATCAAATGGCATAATCTACCACCGTATGAAACTCTTCAGATTGTTTTTCGTCTGAAAAAAACAGCTAGTCAATTTTTCTCAGATGTCTGATGGGTCCTCTTCCTCCTTTTCTTGCTATGCTTAGGTGGATAAGATCTCGGTTTTTTTTTCTTTTATTAATAATAGAGTTGCGTTTTCTCTTTAAGCTTGTACAAAACGCATTTTGTGAGAAGTGGTAGGAGCTGGAAAAAAATGAAGTTATTTTTGGCTTCAGCAGCACTAAATGGGTGAAAGTTGCTCTGTTAGACATGTGAGAAGAGATTATTTCCTTTCTTTTCAGAAGGCAATCAATCATGAAAGTTTAACTTAGTCGTTTATGCGAGAATTATTCTACCGTAGTGTATTTTTGCCTGCTGAATCAAAAAATGGCCCTGTTAGTTCCGAGTCGCAGAAGTTTCTACTGGTTTCTAGAGAGCCATAGCCTCATTGAACATGCCCCATTTGCTCATTCGTGTTCGTTTTTATTTGTTGCTGTCCTATAAAAATGTGTCCAGGTGCACCCTAAAAATTCCATACAAGGGAGAAGTCAAGATAGTATCTGCCTCTGATTTCAATGAATTTGAACGTGAACAAAAGCTGAGTATGACATTCATTTTAGCGTTTCCCATTAGCCTGTGGTGAGCCTCGACAGGCTCCCCACAAATCTTGTATTCAGACCAAATCCACTTTGTGATACGTCGTACATGTTGAATGGCTTAACACCTGGTATTCACTGCGTCATCATTCAGTCATGCAGTGATGTAATGACTACTGTGCTGCTCAGGTGTTTAAATGGTCGTCGTTTAGACTCTCCTCTCGACCATTATAATAATATAATGGTAATAAATATAATGAACTACCAAACCGCATATTTCGTCTGCAGTGTTTTAAAATCTTGGTTTTTCTTTTATTTGTTTTAAGTGGAATAAAATGACATCATTTCTTGAAATTTTCTCAGAATTAGCTTCGCCCAGAAAAGAGAATTCACAGAGGTCTTTAAGAATTGACATTGCGTGGTTTTAAATTTGAAATGTAAAGTTTGACAAGAAGTCTTCAAAGTCGCAAATCGAGATTCGTGATTTGGGAGTTTCACCATGGATTTTCACTTTTATCCCTCTTCATTCCTGCTCTTTTTCCTTTGGACGTTTTGAAACGAGTTCCAAAATTTCCATCTTCTTATTCATTCTAATTTGTGTAATATTTTCCTTTCCCTTACATGCATTTATTCAAATTATGTTGCGGCATAGGATATGAATCGGAATTACAAAAATGTTATCACCAATCAGTTTTCATATAATTACGAGCTCTGCGGTAAGAGGGCGAGGGACATAAGCTTTCAAAACGCAGCATTTCAAGCCTCACCTATCTTATAATGGTGGAAGTAGGAAACATCAGCAAAGTACATAAGCCATTATGCCCCCGACAGGTTACAAGTTTAACATCCACTGGTGAATTATTACAGATGTCCCTCGTCTCAAAGTGGTTTTGGTCTTCTTGAGAAACTCCGGTGAGTTTCCAATAGGCCTAGTGCCGAAAATGCTTGGACACATATCCTCCATTTCTACATGTGCTTTCGATCACCCTAATAAGCCTGATAATGATTGATGCACCCACTGTGATCTCCTGTTGTTCGTATGAAATAGTCCAAACCTCTATCTTCGTCTGTAATTCTTTAACTGTCATCTACTCTCATCAGCAAATAAAATGCGTGAATTATTGTGATAATGCTAGTGAGATGAATAGTACAAAATTAATATGAAGGCAAAGGAAGCACCGAGTGCAATTTGAAGTTATACGTCTCATGTGGTGTAATAAAAGCCTGTTGATAGCGGACTGAGTCATTTTTATCTAAAACCGATAATAGCTAGTCAGTGTTCAAGTGCAACTTGTAGCTTTTTATTGATTATTAATTCATTGTTGTGTTTATTCTCGTTAATTAATGAAGTATGACTCTCAGCTCCTACTTTTTACTCTCTTCATTATGATGCAGTGCCAAATGTGACCCAATCCCCGTTCTAATTTTTCAAAGCATTAGTAAATTATCGAGGGCCTAAAAGGGGTAAGGCATTAATACTATACTCAATATTTACTAATTGCTCTAGTCAACTCATTAAAATATATTTAAAAATATTTATATTTATAAATAACTGTAAATGCTATTTATACTTAATCCGATTTTGTAGGGACATGCCAATGTACAAGCATTCAAACCTTACATGCGTATGAGATATCTAACATTATGTACATACGAAATGCTACAGCATATAATAATGAGTTTTCTCATTAAGTATTAAGCTTTAATTTTCCCTCTCTGTTCTCCGCCCCTCTTTCCTTTGTTTCTCTTTTCACTCTCCTCCGCAAATGTCCATCACTTTTTATAGAAGTATCCGACAGAATCTAACTTCGTATTTATACCTTAATTTCATTCATTTAGATCTGTTCATCCTATTGTTAGTTAGAATGTAGTGATTCGAAGTCTTT